TTTTTTTTTACTACCCGGTGGCTGTGATGGCGTGTGGTAGGACAATCGATACCGCGAGGTTTACTCAAGGAGATATTCATAGTGAAGAATTGATTGATCAGGTATTTAAACCCCGCGTAAATTCCCAAGGGTTTACTTCCTCGAAAAGATAAGAGATAAAAATTTTTAATCCCCTAACATATGCATACATGTAGTGTAGATTTTTTCCTAAGAAAACATTAAGATTACTTTCCTTTCAGAATATATGATTCAAAAAAAAATGGATTTCTCAACATTATAAAATTTTGTCTTTCTTTAAAAAAAACAAAAAAATACTAAGAACCAAAATAAATCGCAAAAGGCGAATATTTAAGTCACTCCGAAAATGACATCTTGTCTCTAAATGAACGGATTCGCGGATTTTCCATTTTACACTCCTACGAAAAGCGTATCCGCATTGCCATTTTGAACGAACTTCTTTCCGATGCCGCTGTTTTGGTGCGAAGCTCCACCTTCCTCAGAAGACGCTGAACCTATAACGGGAATTTGTAAATAGTCAATCTTGGTAATCACGGTCTACGATGTAAAAAATTCTAATAGACATTCCCTTTTAGTAAAAGCCAATCTTCTCTAACTCATGTGATTTCTATTTCATATTTTAAAGCATTGTAAATATCTCACTTGTAAATATTTTTTAGCATAGAGCATAATTAATCATTCAAATGAGGAAGGGAGAGTTGAGAGATGATATATAATAAAAGAAACGAGTATACAACAAACGTGTTTTGTGATTTACTTACTGTATTGTAATTTTTTGTCGCGATGCTTGCATACTATTCAGTTCTCAGTTTTTAATGATTGTTTTTTTAACCATATACACTCTTTTGACTTGGTTATTACTTTTTATCATAATTGTCAATTTTAACTCAATTAATCGATTTGTGATATACTAAAAACCAATAACCTATCCAGATAAACCAAACTGATTAAAAAATAACTTGTCTGTGAAATATGAATATGTGTATGCGTAGAAATAATTAATCACCGTTTTGTGATGAATAATAATGTTAATAAAAAATGTGATGCGATAATACTGTAGACTAATAAGCATATACTGTACTACATGTTTTATTATTATTATTCCCAGCAACCTTTCTTTAAAGTTCTGAAAACACACGTGCAGTATATACTATTTGATTTGGGCTACGTGCCAAATTATTATTTCATTATTTCATCCAAGAAATAAATCTCGCGTAATCAATAATGACGCATCGTGACTTCAGTTCCTAACCATTAAAATATCAACATCACATGTTCTACACCGAACATTTGTTTAAAAATGATTACATTTTATCTCGGGTTATAACGGTCCTGCGGACTGGCTGAATAAACAGAATTTTATAACCTTTTTTTTTGCTTTACAAATGTAATCATCCCCCACTGATAAATTAAAAAAAAAAAAACAAACTCAGATCAATTATCTAATTATCCTCAAAAACTTTCTGATTAGTAGTTATCTTCGCTTAATACTTGATAAATACATCGTAGTTAACAAAAAATAAATAAATAAATTCAGCTCTTGTTCTATCATGAAGGTAAAACAAGAGGTAAACAAAGGTATAAAGAAGATGAAAAGGTTTTTAAAGTCAGGTTCTAGCAACGTATCTGAAAAAACCTTGGAGAGTGAACGTAGCTGTAAGAATAATTTGATTTCTTTTGTTATTCCTTGACACGAAATTTTTACTAAAAATCACATTCATTTAATTTCAAGCGATGAACGATATGACAAGTCTTGGAAAACACGGAAATGAATCAGATGAAAGGACTAATGGAGAAAGCTTTGATCAAGCCGCGGAAGAACATTCAGGCACTGATTCTGATGAAGACCAAGAGACAAGCGATGAGAATTCGACAACTGGAACTGATCACGCAGAACACGAATTTGACAGAAAAGATAAAATCGAAAACGACGAAACGAATATCATAGAACACGCGAAAGATGACAACGATGACAACGATGACAACGAAATAAACTATGAAGAGAGCATGGATGAAAATGATCATGATCTCCAAGGAAGTTTATCTATTGAAAATGAGGATTCTGCTTTAGACAAGGACCAGAGGGACGACAATGACCATGATATTAAAAGCTCAACTATCAACTCTGGTAAACCCGAAAAGTTAGATAAAAGTCCAATTACTCAAAGTTCTATTGCGACGAGCGAGGATCAACGTACACATTTATCAGAACCAGATGATAAAAATGAGAATGTTGAAGAAAAAGAGAGCTCAATCTCAAAGTCTTGGGATGAGGAATCTCAAAAAGATGAAGCGGGGGATGAATGGAATTCACCGAATTCAGGTTATTGATTCTTTCCTTTTATGATTAAAATATGAATAATTTTTTTTTTTAAATGCATTTATCAATCTACCGCATGGTTTCTTTCTTTTAGATCCACCCGCATGGAAATATCCAGATGAATTGCCACGTTTAAAGAACATCGAGAAACATTCTAAGGATGATCAAGTTAAACTTCTGACCAGTTCGAGTTTTCCTGCTAACCGTAAACAACATTTGACCCCTGTTCGTCGCGGATTATCACCAGAACAATTCGAAAACGGTGTGTACATAGGCGACCCTAACCAACTTCCACCAATGGGTATTGCATTTTATATGTTTGGGTTATATATAGAGAGTGCGTTCGTCAATATAGCCGACAAGATTCGAGTTATTGATAGAATATCTGGAGTCCCGATCAGCAACTGGTTCCTTTGGCTTTTTTCATTGAAGAGCTGGATGAACATTAGGGACGATGACGATAGGAGGATGTTAGAATAGCTAATAATTTTATGGCGTTACATAAAAAATTTTTTTCTTACGTTTGTTTCGTAGTTTTCTTATCCTTTCTATAACGAGCATGTTACATGTAAAAGTATTGCAGCTTTTACAATAAACAATCATACTGATGTATTATTTTATCCATAATTTTATTTCTCGTTTTATAACAATATGTTAAAGGCTCTTTGCCTATCTATCTATCTATATATTGTCTTTAGTAAAAGTTTACATGCCAATATTCGCGAACAATATTGTCAAATGGTACCATTTTATGAACAGTTAATTTCTTATAAAAATCGGCAAGGAAAAACTTATTTACAATACCTATGATAAAGATTTACTATGCGTTTTTTTGAATTCAAAGATACAATTTTTATTACGCAACAACTATTTTTTTAATAAAGTATTCCCGGTTTGATAATAATATTCTAACTTGTAAACCTATTTTATCTTTATGTAATAAAATTTTTTAAAAAATTGCCTAATTAATATTGTGATGTTCAAAACATGAAAATAGAAAGATAGATTATACAGTATATAAAATATTCTTACATTAGAAAATTTTTTAGCTGATATATATATAACATCTCTGCTAAATATAATCAATAGTATATACTTTATATCTAATATTAAAAATAAATTTTAAAACAAATATTAATAATGTCAGATATAGCTAAATAGTAATTATACTTATTATTTGAATATATATACAGTTTATCTAAAAAATCTTTAAAACAAATATTTTTTATAATAAATATGTAATTATTTATATGTTTAATATAAAACTTTAAATATATATTTTTTAAAATATCAAAAATAAAATATTATATTTTTTTTTAATATTTTTAATAATAAATATATCTTAAATTTTAATTTTTAAATTAAAAAAAAAATTTGATTAAAAAATTTATATTTATATACAATATAAATTGTAATTGGAAAAATAATTAAAAAATTATATATTGTATATATATTTTTTAATTTTGTTTTTAAATTTTACAAATCAATAAATTAAAACTTATTATATATAATTTATTTGTTTATTTATTATAATTTAATTAAGTTATCCGGATATTCTAATCAACCCTACAAGATACAAGATCTTTGACAGTGAACAGCCACAAGGTTGCCAAATCAGGACTAGTAGATTAGGTGGGTTTAAACTGGTAGCAGGACTTTCCACCCCTGAATAGTCCCACCTAGTATACGGGCCCCACTTTCATAGTGGTAAGTTGATATAGTTGGGTTAAAACAAGTGGAAGGAATGGGTTAACTTAAATGAACCTTTGATGTAATGTAATTGGATATAAATAACTCAATAAAAACCAGTACGTCTAGTACCTTTTACTTTAAAAAAAAAATAATAATAATAATTTAATTAAGTTAATACTTTTTAAAAAATATTATTTTTATTTTTATTATTAATTAACTTTAATAAATTTTTTTTTCTCTTATCAAACTGCTATTAATGTGTTTATTAATTCATTTTGAAAAACAATAATACCATAAATGGTATTATACATAGCTAAACTATCTATCATAGCAAAACATCTGTTAACAAGTTTCAGATTTGTACACGATTCTTAAATCCTTAATACCAAGACCACTATGTTATTCATATGATTTAGCTATTCACTAACTATTTTATTATAAGGGAGTAAGTTCATTAAACTATTACTACATGATACTAATTATCTTAAACTTTCCAAATCCTAACTCTTTAGATGTAATTGTAAGGAATGATAAAATTGCTTCTTTCTAAAGTTGGATACCTTTGATCTTCACTTCAAGAGATCAATGCCAGCCTATACTCAGACTATCACTCCAGCATAACCTTGTTGTTTTAAGAGAAAAAATTTTTATTTTTCTAAGAAATAAAGGGAAGAT